AAAAAAAACTATATAGGAGATCTCATTTCTTGGTGTAACAGTAATATTAAATTGCCCAAGTCAAAGACATGCCCTGTACCCATTCCCAAATTAAAAATCAATGGTACTTACTACATCCAGCCTTATAGCTGAAGCCTGGAGGGAGGAGGAATCCTTGTTGGGCAGCTGCAGCCAGTGTCCGTTGATCAGGAGGGAATACGGGGATCATTAATGGCGGCAGCTGACCTTGAACCTGCTGAACGTGATAGAGCGAATCAAAGAGTAGAAGTTTTGGTGCTCCATACTTCCCACCCTCCTTATTTCACAACCAAACAAAACAGAATTAAAATAATCAATTCTTAAGAGTCACATAATATTGGAAGTTTACAATTTGTGAATAATAGACCTGGAAAAAAATTCAGAGAACAACTAAAATGTTTCCCTTTCTTTCAGAGGAGACAACTGGTGCCTAAGAAAATTGACTTCCCCATGGCCACAGAGTTAGTCAAAACCAGGTCTACATCCAGTCCCTGGAATCCTGCCACAGACCCTCTGTATTATACTTTTGACTTTTTGAAACAACTGAACCACTCCTTGAACCACATGAATTCTGCCATCTTTGTAATGTGCTCTAATTTGCTGGAGTCCCTCTCAGAGTATAGGGTTCAGTTCATATCAGTTAATAAATAACTCAGCACAATGGAATTACTGACTTCTTTGAACTGAATAAGAATTTTCGAAACATAAAGCAATGCAGTAATTTCTGCAGCTATGTCCCAGTATTGACTAATGGGGTAATTGTCATTCACTGGAATACCGAGAATTATTCTTTTCAAATAAATATTCAAGTAAGATCTCCCTGGTGAACATGATTATTGGCAAGTGTTTGTCATTGGGTATGTGAATGAGAATTTAGGATCATATTAAAATCACATACCTGACACTTCATTCCCCTTTACTAATCCTTCCATACATTGGAAGTTATTTGGAAATTATGTAATAAGTACCTTCTTTGTGTAAGAAAATGAGCTAGGCATCAGGGATATGATAGTGAATAAGACAAACAATATACAGGTCCATGAAGCTTTAATTTTAGTAGGGGATATTGGTTAAAAAAAAAAAGCAAAACACACAAAAATAACTACATTTGATTCAGAGAGTAATCCTAACAACGCCTCTCAGACCTGTTTCTCATTGGCATTACACGTTCCTAGCTTTTTTATGAATCTTCTAGTTCTCATTTCCCACTTTATAAGTCCACCTCCAGTTTCTCCTTCATTTCATTTTTCACAGTCAAACAGCTATTTTCGACACTTAGGTTGGTGAATGTGTGGCGTGGGGTAGGGCCGTGGAGCAGGTGGTGAAAGAGGAAGGGAAAGGGGGTGAAAGAAAGAGAGATTGTAAGAATGGGAGACTTGTTTTCAATAACGACTCCAAATTGTTAATCATCCTTTTGAGAAAGGGTTTTCCACCTCTCTCTGCCACTACGAAGGAAATGACGCAGGCGATGAAACTCTAATGGAGATGACAACAACTAGGGAAACAAAAAGATGGTGTTTTATGGTTAGAGATGAAATTTGTACCACTACAACCATCCTTTTAGGATACGAGGGAAGAAGGCAAAAGCTTATGGAGAAACCAACTGAGGAGGGACTCCAAGATAGAGAATGTATGTTGAGCAAGCAGGAGGAATGAGTAGCCTAAAGCAAGACACAGATATCACAGGGTGAAATGGCACTGGGGTTCGTTCAGCCTGAGCAGAGGATGCAGGCAGAAACACATAGCAAAAGAACAAACAACAAGCCGGCCACACTGGTTCAGGGCAATGGCCAGGGACTACATCTTCTTCATATTTCATACATCTCTAAGTTGTATAGCTTATATAGCTTGTCTCCTCATTTCTAAGACCCCATTGGTTACAATATTTATCATAAACTTTATAAGAGCCTTTTGGAGAGAAGAAGGAAAGGGAACCTCAAACAAAATATATACAAGGGTGGGAAGAGGCATCCATATTTCAGGTTATGTTGAAATTTAAGGTAAACTATGTTCAGAATTGCAGGAACAATAGGTTCATCTTTTAGCATACTAGTTCTTAAACTGGAAAATGTATAGCAAGCTTTGAGAAATCCCAATGCTCAGAATCCTTCCCAAACCTAGTAAATCTGAATCATCAAGGTTAAAATCCAGCATTGGCCTATTTTAAGTCTGATGATTCCAGTGGGCATCCAGGGTTGAGAAGCACTGTTTTAAAGAATGTTTTTGGTCACTGTCAAGAAATTGTTTTGTCCTTTACAAAGCACCTCTAGCTATATAATAGTGGAAAGGGAGACTCTGCCTGATTCTGGTACCCATAAGAATAGTAACAGATATTAAAAGTTTCATTCCTCATAAATTTCTTCTATATGAGTCTGGAATCTATATTTTATATTCCCTTCTTGTTTTAAAATCTTTTGATGGTTTTCTTTCATCTGGGGAAAAAATGAACAAAATCCTCAGCATGGTATTCAAGATTCCTCACAATTTCTCCACAGTCCATTTTTCCAGGGATTTCTTCTGCCCCCTTCACATATCCTGCACCTTTGCCCCAGTGGGTCATTAAAAGTCCCTTGCATTATCTACCTTCTTCCATGCCTGAGTGCGTTCGATGGTACTTTTTTTTTTTTTTCTGATTTTAAGTAATTCCTCATTCCCTTTTCTTCCTGGAAAAAGAATGTGCTCATTCTTCAAAGACTTTTGAGGCTCACAATGTAAAGCACTTCCAAAGTTTCAACTTGCAGGCAGAAAGAGCTGTTCTTACTTTTAATTTAATAAAATGAATATAATACTTTTTGTGTTGAATAATATAATAAAATAAATATAGTACATGTTATGTTGAATAATATTTATACAGCATTGAGTCTCTTCTGTGACCTTTAAGTACATTTAGGAAAAAAAGCTATAACTTGTTTTTTAATATATTTTTAGAGCTTAGCAGTTATAGCTATGACATGTAGCAACAAACTACAAATAAAGCAGCTGAGTGGATAAAACAGTTTCATCATCCTAGTTAGGTCTTCAGGCACCAACTTCAAATGTCCACAAAAGGCCCTAGAAAATTTAAGTTATCTAATGACCAGAAAGGAATATATATTCACCAGAGAAGTATAGCAGATAAGTTGTGATGCTACCCTTCAATTATGTCTAAGTGGTCTTAAATATCATGATATGCCTATGACTTTTGAATGATGTATGCATGAACAAATACAAAAGCAACCCAGAAATATTAGAACTTTATTATATACTTTTTTAATGGACAGATTATTCCTGCCTATCATGTTCTAGTATCATGCTGTTTTCATTACCATAGCTTTGCACTGTATTTTAATAATGCATAAGGCTAGTATTATATCATTACTAGTTTTTCCAAAATATTGCCTTGATTTTTTCAATTAATTTTAGAATATTAGGTAAAAAAAAGGAAATTTATTAATTGAATGTTTGGATGACCAAGAAGGTTATGTGTTTCAATTTATTCTAGTCTCCATTTATTTTATATTAACTAAGAAGTTTCTTGGTAATTTTATTTCTAAGGTTCTTTGTCTTATAAAAAGCATTTTATTAGCATTGCGTAGGAAATTTTTCTTAATTTTATTGTTTAACTGGTTATTTGTATATAGGCATACTTGTGAATGACAGTTTTGTCCAGTTAGTTAATGTATGACTTTATATATTTATAACTTCATAATTTAAAATTTTCAGATAAAAATTTTAGTATATTAATGAGTAAGCTGTAATAAATTTGGGAGCTTTTATTAAACCTGTATTAAGCTCTTATTTGTTATAAATTAAATTACAGGGTGCATTTTGTTTTAATAATACAATCTGTTTTAACATCTAAATTTTTCAAGATGACTTGTAGAGGGTAACATAGTTTAAAGCAGAGAAAGACTCTAGAGCTTATCTGAAGCAACCTTGTCTTTGTGCTGATAATGAAATAAAACCCAACTTGGTCAAATTAATTGTTCATGATCCTACATTTAG